CTATCTTCCAGTACTTTAATGGTGCACACCGTTCTATAACAAACACTTCTCTACCAACTCTTACTGATACACCACACGGGCAATAGGGTTTGCTGTCTCTTGAAGCAATACAAGGAGCCGTTTTCATTTGAATCTGTAACAATTTAGCACGATTTATGTTAGGGATAATCTGGGAAAGGTCAATTCTAAGAGGCTTGCCAAGGTAGAGTGCTGATTGACACGGTCCCCGAAAGCCCAACTATTTACCTATGTAAAAAATCGATCTTTCTTTATTTCTTTTTTATTGTGCTCCATAAACAGTTTGGTGACAAACTGGCGTCTGACACAATATGAAATTTTCAGAATCCATCTGTATGATCACATTCAAGTAGACAAATAACTCATTACCTATTCGATTGATTTCAGAATGGATAAACCCTGACTAATAATAATGTCATAGTTACCTCTTGCCTCCATTCTATGTTTTCATAAAGTGTATATAAACCTTCGTATTGATGTTCGTAACGCCTGTTATAATAAATTAACCTTAATTAAAGTAATGTCTTTATTATCCACACAACGACAATACAGTCACAATTATATAGATACAGAGAAATAAAAACAAATAAATAAAAGTAAAAAAATGAAAACTTACAATCCACCAAAGGTACGCATATGGGGATCACAAACAGCCGAACAAGACATTCCTTTAATTGCTGTTGTATCCTGACTGGTGCGAATCTGAAAAGTAAAATTTAGCGTATTCTGTTAACCAGATAGTATATTTGAATTCAAAGGGACAGCTTACCTTAGTTTCAGAAACGGGGATGTTTTAGATAAGCCAATCAGTAAAAGTGTTTACAGCAGACCATCGAAATTTGATCCTTCAAACCCTTTGTGCCATATATAGAAAAGACATACATGTATATAGAAATAGTGAGTAAAATTCCTATTATAGTTTGAAGTATCTTTAAAGGAATTATGTGATTTTCGTACTTTTCTAGTACTGCTGAAGACTATTTATATATATTAAAACCTCAAATCAACCCCAAAATGGCATAATACTGTTCCTTTAATACTCCTGTAGTATTCCTTCAGTATCAATTAAAATTTCAAAAGTCTTTCATTTATGTTTGTCTAACTTCAGATTGTAAGACATCAATAGCCTGTACTAAGGTTGGTTAAGATATGACTGGCTTACCTTAACGGTACCAATGGTGTAATCTTGCCATATACTATGTGATGGAAAACTCGGTGAAGTTTTCAGAGTGATGGTGTTAGTAGCTGATTTAGCACCATACTGAGTTGCTGGATCAGCCGATAATTTAACTGAATGCTCCTGATCCCAGTTGCCACTTGAGATAGAAATTCCGCAATCTGAAAAACTTGATTCAGGATCGCAACTGGAAGTTGAAGAAGGTGGTTCAATAGGGTTTACGGATAGAGCGCATTCAGGATTTGAGTTTAGACAGCCTATGGAATGTGGTCTGACTTAT